TAAAACCGAAAACCAGCCAACCAAAGGATGCCCATAACTGAATTTCTGTAACTCAGTCAAGAATGCAGCATTGGTTGGTGAGTGACTACAGCCTGGTCCAAAGCAGAGAGGAGATGGTCTGTGGCAGTAACACCTTGCTGTGCTACAACAGAGAATATAATGACCATTAGTCTCACACTCCCTGCAAGACAGAAGGGACACATGTAGAGAATCTGGAGGTTCTCTCTAACCACCCTTCCCAATTTCTAGTCTCAGTTTCTTAAACAAAATCTCCACCTCCAGTTTCAGCACTCAGCCAGGCCCTGCCACCCTGGGACATCCACAGCTCTAATTTGAGTACACTTGTATAGCATTTTCTACTCCTACCCTCCCATGTTTGGGATTAGATTTCAGTAAAAAAATACACTCAATATCATTCATTCACTTAGGTGGTCAAAGAACTGACCTCAGACACTCTGTTAAATTAAAGTACCAGCCTGAAGGAGCTGAAAAAATGGAATTTTTCGAACCTTTACTTGAAATATGTTTTTGTACAATACGACCTTTAGGAAATAGAATTCCCACCTAAGCAGAAAACATTTCCAATTTTCACTACCAAGGAAGGATGGTATGGCTCTGGGAGCATTGATGATTTATTTATTTAAGTTTGCAAGGCTTAAATAAAATATTTTTTTTCCAGCCTGGAAAGGATTTAGAATTTTTTAAAAAGCCCTTTATGGGCTAAGATGGAAAGAAGATCATACAGGAACATACATTACAGTACTCTAAATCTCACAGGATCCAGAGGATAAACACAATTTCACATGAGCAGAGAGCTGAAATTTCATCTTAATCTCATGAGAGTTTTATTTGCAACTTAACAGCAGCAACAGGTCAAATGAGGGATTGCATCAGCAGTTTGAGAACCACTGCTGTGACAGTGCCTCAATATTTTGTGCTTAGTCCTTGGATAATTTTTATTCATTATTTTATTTTGTTATGCATCTTCCACAGTTTTGAATTTAACTCCCCTCACCCCCAAAATACAGCAATAGGGTTACAGAGACGGAGCCACTTTCACTGCAGATATGAGTGTTTCAGAAGGTTTTATGACCATTTTGGCACTGAAGGGAAAACCAGCTCTTTCATCCCAGTACATCTGCCAGCAAAGGCAAACCTGTCTGGTTAGCCTCTGCAATAATTAGGAAGTAGTTGCTGGCTAGCCAATGTGAAACACATGTGCAAGAAAGGTCAGAAGGATTCCAGCAGCCTGTCAGCCTGACCTCAGTGCTTAAGGAAGGTTATGGAACAGATTATCTTGAGTGTGATCACACAGCACGTGCAGGGGATCAGGCCCAGTCAGCAGAGGTTTAGGAAAGACAGGTCCTGCTTGACAACCTGCTTTCCTTCTATGACAAGGTGATCCACCCAGTGGACGAGGGAAAGGCTGAGGTTGTTGTCTACCTATAATTCAGTAAAGCCTCTGTACCTGTTCTCTCACAGAATTCTGCCGGAAAAGCTGGGAGCCCACGGTTTGGACAGGTGCACTCTTTGCAGGGTAAAAAACTGTCAGAAGTGGTAGTGGATGGAGTTACATCCAGCATACAGGGAGCAGTCCTGTTTAATATCTTTATTGATGACCTGGACAAGGGGATCAAATTCTCCCTCGGTCAGTTTGCAGAGGACACCAAGCTGTAGAGTAGGAAGGCTCTGCAGAGGCATCTGGATAGCAGAGATCCATGAGTGCTGGCCAATGGTATGAGGTGCAAAAAGACCAAGTGCCAGGTCCTGCCCTTGGGTCACACCACCTGTAGCACTACAGGCTGGGGGCAAGTGGCTGGAAAACTTCCTAGCTGAAAAGTATCTTGGGGTGGTGGTCAACAGCCAGCTGAACAAGAGCCTGCAGTGAGCCCAAGTGGCCAAGAAGACCAGTGGCATCCTGGCTTGTTGTTTATTACATCAGCAATAGCGTGGCCAGCAGGACCAAAGCAGTGAAAGCCCTCCTGGGAAGGCCACAGCTCAAGTCCTGTGCTCAGTTTTGGGTCCCACAATACAGGAAAGACATTGAGGTGATGGAGCAAGTCCAGAGAAGAGCAATGGAACTGGGGAAGGCTCTGGAGTACAAATCCTGAGAGGAGCAGCTGAGGGGGCTGGGGAAAAGGAGGCTCAAGGGAGATCTGGTCCCTCTCTACAATTGCCTGAAAGGAGAGTGTAGCCAGGTAGGGATCAGTCTGTTCTCCCAGGCAAAGGATGAGAGGAAAAGACCTCAGGTTGTGCCAGGGGTCATGTCTGCAGGAAGAACAGCATTGACTGAATTGGAGGGAAATGAGGCATCTTTGATTTTTTTGAACCTGATCCTGGTGGAGTAGGATGATTTCAGTTGTTACTGCCCTTTTGCTAATTTGTCTCCCTTTCACATTTTAAGGCAAGACCCAATTGTTTTATTACCACAATGGTCAGTGAATGTTATGCTAAAGTACTACATCAAGCTGTGAAAGAAAGAGGCAGAAGCAAGTCATAGAGTATGTATAGGTGGCTTGCAATTGCTTCCAGGAAATTTTAAGAAACCAAACAACTTTGTATAGACATTTGTCTGTAGCTATGGATAAGTTTTTCCAAAGATTATGCTACTAATAAGGCAATTTTTAAGAACAGCAAATGGCAGAGGATGGATTTATGTAGTTCAGAAATATGACATTGAACTATTTTAAGTCAAATGTCATTAGGCTGAGCTAAGGGGGAATTTGAAAAAAACAGAGAAGCTTTACAGTATATTTGTAATATTGTTAAGCATACAGACATACACATTCCTGTATCTACCTGGCCACGCATGAGTGCAGATTGAGTTGCTAGAGCAGGGTGTCATAATTCACTACTCATGCATATTGTTAGTTTAGAATGATAAACTGTTAATTTGATTAATTTCAGGCTGTCTTCTCTGTAACAGAACATTATATTCAAAAGCAGTAAGTCTGATAGTCTAGACAGCAGCATGTTAAACTAAACACTTCCATACATTTAGAGGTTGAGTATTTCTTAAATGCTTAAAACTAAGGAACTGAAAACACTCAATTTCAGCCTAAAGATCAATTCCCTGGACACGACTTCTGGACACAGTCACAGCAATGCTGACAGGAACTACTTGGTTAGGCACATGGATATTTTAACTTTAATTACTTAAATTCCTGTTGAAAATAAGATTAAAACCTTGTCACACATAACTGTCTCCATTCTACCTTACAGGTAATTTTCACGTCATCAGAAAGGTTGCCTATCTAATTTTACAGTATTATTGGCTTTCTAAACATAAACCACATCCATCATGTTGTAGACATATTAGTGGGTTTACTAAAGCACTAAAATAACAACAGCTTATGGTATAAAAACTGGACACATGATCTGTATTTCAAGGGGAAAAAAAGGTAGTGTTAAAATGATAAATAAACATTTCACTTGGCATGAATAGAGTAGTAGGCAGAAGATACTTTTCTATTGGATAAAGTTAGGAGATAATTTATTTTGCTTAACTTGCATGGCAGAAGAAAAGCTGGCTAGTCTGCCATAAATAAAGCTGGTATAAAATTTAACTCCTCAGAGGATGGCAGGGAGCCAGTTGCTCCTGTGGCTGTTACAGTAGATTCTCAGTTCCATTGGCTGGGGGACATACAGTATCACAAACCCATGGGAAAGGCTCTCCCCAGATGACCTGAGAGACCAAGAGGGGATTACTGCCTCTGGTGTAACAGAACTGTCTCTAACAGAAGCAAAGAGTGCCTTGGACTTGACTTCTCAAACTTCATTTGAAATTGTCTTCATTGGTGAGTGACTATTCTCAGTGCACATGGAGGTCTAGGTGCCAGCAACTCCAGTGGGAATAAGGAGCACAGGGGCCCAGGGACCCGCAGTGCGAGCAGAACACCCATGGGTTGAATATGGATGTCTGTGTCATCACTTGCAAATACCAAAATGGAATTGCTGTAAAATAGGATAAGAATATTGGAAGACAGGTATGAGAGCAGCTGAAAGTCTGGCCAGGCTACTGGAGGGGCCAGTGAGTCCCAGCTGCTGGAAAAAGTGTAGGATGTAGACCCTAAAGAACGAGAATTACCAAAACAACATGCAGACCACTGGCACTCCATAATATGGAGTTCAGGACTACAGGAGCAGCAAAATTTAGTCTCTCCTAGCATAAATTTGGTAAGTGCTATGGTATATTAAGATAGAGAAGACCAGCACTGATCTGCTAGCTTTAAGTGATGGAGCATGTAGATAAAGACGCCACAGAGGTGGTATTGAGTTTTGTTACCATGCAACTGTAAAGCCATGTTCTTAAAACACATTCCTTATTTTGTTATTATGTAAGTTTTATTGCTCTTGCTTGTTCCAAAGGTCATTTGCTGTTATTATTTTACCAGAGTGAGGACTTCTAATATTAACTAAAGACATAACAGGAGTTAAATGGGTAGTTAACAGGCAGATAACGCATTATGTTACAGAACAGATCCAAGTTACTGCCACTTGGAACACAGACAACATTTTCATCTGATCACTGCCAGAGCTTTGCTCCCATTCTCTATAAGGAATTTAAGGCACGTGTGACCTGCTGTTTTCAAGTAACAGTGATGCTAGGGAGATAGTGCAGAGAGCTTGGCTTCAGTTGGTGTTTCTTCATAAGTCTTGTTTCTTTCATGATACAAAATTGAAATACAGTATAAAAATATATCTTTTCAAAGGGTCCAATAGTTCCAAGTCTAATTTCAATATTATAATGCTATAATATTTAAGATTGAGGAACATTAAGAGTGCAACTTCTGCTGGAGTTTCTTCAGGATACCACATTCAGTACAAGAGAGAGACTAATATTTTCCTATTGCTTCCCTAGAGAGGCTGCACTTTAAGTTAAAACAGTCTTGCTTAATGTCTCCCACAAGACGTGTAATCCAGAGGTGTTATAACTGATACCCTGATTCCTCTGACTGCAGGACAGCGCATGGGATTTCCATTATTTACAAACACTCCTTGAATACTCCTTTACAGTCGAGAAACAGTTTCAGCTTCCTTTTCATTGCCATCTCGAGCCTTCTTTTCTTCCTTTTCTTCCTTGCTGAACTGGGCTTCAATCTCATTTGGATCAATATAGGTATAAAAAGAAGCCATGATAGCAAAAATGACGCAAACTACCAACAGCAGGGCAGCAAACAGCACATACTCTGCCCACTGCCAAAACAAACAAACAAAAAAAACCAGAATTTATCCACCAATATTCATTTGAGTATTACACCATTTTAGTATTTTCAGGAAGTAAACTCAGAATGTTAAACTGAGTATGCATAACAACTATCATATGGCTTATAGGACTAATTACTAATTAAGCATAAAATACATATTAAAGCAACTCAGAATTGAGGCTCTTTCATAATTTCTATCTTCACTGAAAAAAACAAAAATTCTGTAAATGCTGAAAAATTCTGCAACATCCTTTTCCTGGAGAAACTGGGAATTGAATGAAAGACTGAGAAAGAAACTCAGCCCCTTCCTTTTGGTCAGATAATCTCATTCTAAAGCCAGGCTGGCACTGATTCTGCTTCCACTTAAAAATTTTTACAGCTGACCTAGTGACCACAAATGCGGGCAGAGATCAGAAACTCTAGCTGAAAAACCTCAACATCTCTGTTTCATGCTCTTTCTGATTTAATTTAGGTTAAACTAGGGACTGCCAGAGCTGTTTTAGAGATAAGCTCTTCCCTCTCTCAAAGAGCCATTTTAATTCATTACAGAACACTGCTAATAAATAGAAAATCTTGGACAATTGCTCTTCACCAGGACAGATACAGTTTTTATGCCCCAAAGAATGAGGTTTGAAACCAACAAAGCCAGAAGAAGGGATGTGGCAAGGCTGTGGCATGCAGGTGAAGGCTCATTAACAATTAACAGAACTTTGGTAGGTTTTAATTTCATTCATGCAGAATTTCAGCTCAAAAGTTCACAGACTTTCTACACCATGAGAAGACATTTACTGGAGAGATGTTAGAAACTGCTGCTTGCAAGAAAAGGAGCCTGGCAACAAGGCAAAAAACAGGTAAGTATAAACTTTTGCAGAAAAACTATTTAGCTGCCATAATTTCCCACTGAATTAGAACTGCTTTCTCACAGTGTAATATAATAGCACACTAACTGCTTGCATGCTTACCTGCTTTTTGATTGCAGATGCCCCAGCCACGATAAGGACAATTATGTTACCAACAGCCACAGTCAGCAGCCATCCTGCCTGCAGCACTGACTTCATGTTAGACGGGGCCTGTAGAGACAGACATTTAAATTTTGATGGTAAGATTTATTTTCTGATGCCTTTACTGCATTCTTTACCTTACAATAAACACTTTTTCTCTGTGGGGAAGAGGATTTCATGGTTTTCTAGATTTTGGTGGTGGTTGGGGCTTTTTTAAAATTTTTTTTTTACATTAAAAATTGCTAGAGAGCTAAACAGGTCTGGAGAAGGCTTTGAGGAGCAAGAGACCATTAGCACACTAACTATAACACCTTTTACATTTACACACCAAGTAACTAACAGGTATACAGGTGTAATTTTACATCTCAGGAACACATGGTACACATGACATGAAGAAGTTGAGTGGGTCACCCAGCAAATCACACCTTACAACATTTCCATCACTGCAGTTTCTAGATTCAGAATTAAGAGAAATACACACAACTAATAAACTGGAGTCAGAAGACAAAGGAATTAAAAGTGCATAACTAAACACTAATAAAAGGCTAACAAAAAGACTGTATGGAGTATGCTGGTGTGGAGATGAAGTGCCACTACTTCCTCATTTTATATTTGAGAGCTCTCCATTTTGGTCTTATTGCATCAGTACTATTGCACTTATTTTCAATGGATAGTCACATGTGAGAAGGAAATTTGAGGACTGGTAGTCAAGTCTTTAAATTATATAATTCAGCACAGCTTCATGGAAAACTCCAAATTCTTGGTTAAACTGGGCCAACTTGCGTGAGCCTATGTAATCCTTCTAGGAGCTGTGACGGACATAGGAATCAAAGCAGCAGCACAGAACCACCCCTTAAAAACAAGATATCATGGAAAATCTTAACTTGCACCAAGATTCTTAACTCAGGAAGAAGAATACCTACCTGTGAGTATGAAAATTCCAGCCCAGTGACAGAGAACAGTACTTCTGCACATGTAAGAAGAAAATACTGAGGGATCTGCCAAGCCATATGGACTGTATTTGGTGCAATATCTTCGAAGTGTGTAATGATAAGTTTTTTTCCAACACACTGGAATTTAAAATAGCATGTTAGGAACAGTAATAATGAGTGTGCACAGTTCTATAATAATATAGGAAGTTCAGAGTAAGTAACAAATACTGCACATGAAGCACTACATATCTATAAAGTATAGCTTTTTTACAGCAGACTTCATGCAAACCTGTAGTGTCTAACAGGGCTAAAGGTTTAAGGCCATAAATGGTGATCATGAATTCTTGCATTATGTTATTATCATAACCGCCATTATTTTTATAGTTAATAGTAGCTTTGTGTCCTGTTTAGGATACCAGAATTCTACCATATATACTTAAAGACAAGAGGAAATTAAAGGATTAAAGACAAGTGGAATAATTCTAGTGTTTTTTTAGTTAAAGTATCAACATGTGAAGGAATTTTATATTGTCCATCCAACAAGTAGCAACTCACATCATCAAGTGAAATGGTATAGGCAGCACCATATCCGAATTCCTTTGAATCAACTGTACAAGTGTTAGGCATTGAAGCATTAATGGTATATGACCTGAAAAATAAAAAACCAAAACCTCACAGTTCAGACCACGAGTGTAGTCAATTGTATGCATCACATATTTTAAGAAAACTCTGTGCCCTTTTCCCAAGGACAACTATATCTAGGAGATCAAATTAGGATAAAGGGAAATGCTTACCAGCCTGGGTTTGAAATGACGCTGTAATTACTGGCAGAAAGAGGTTGCAGCTCTCCAAAAGCCATGTCACCCATAGTAACATTGACAGTAAAATTGGAATTGTTTATGAACCTTTAAAATTGAAAAGTTATTAAATACTACATAAAACATACAGAAATCAAAGAATACAGGTTTTACTTTTAATTATATATTGACAGCACAAGTATCAAGTCTTCCCATTCAATGCATTTTTGGTTTTGTTTTTTTTTTTTTTTTTAATAAATTCACATTTTGGAAAGAACTCTAAATCTCTTAGAAATGTAGCTAATACAAAATGCNTCCCATAATTTTCTTTTAATGCCCTAAACCCTGAGAGGAGGAAAACCTTCCCATGTGTCCTTCTTCTGTGGTCTCCCCAAGCCAAGGATCTTCTGGTGAATGCCCATACAGCAAACCTTTCTGCATAAACTTTATTCCTGCCCCTGTTTCCTTGTGCAAACTCTACAGGATGCACTTTTGATTTAAAATCCCCAGCTGTATTTTTATTTTTCTCCTGGGTTTTGGTTTTTTTTTTTTTTTTTTTTTTTTTTTTGGTTTTTTTTTTTTTTTTTTTTTTAATCAATTCACATTTTGGAAAGAACTCTAAATCTCTTAGAAATGTAGCTAATACAAAATGCCAGTTAGACCCCCATCAGCCCACTGCCTTAGGAGAACCTCAAAAGAAAGATAACTCTTATCCAAGATTATAAATGAGGTATAGATATGTAATCCATGCCACTTGTCCAATAAAAAAATCTAGGCAATTGAATGAAGCATATACTTCCACTTTTAGCTAAATTACACTCAAAGCAGATGTGCAAGATAACTTAAGATTCAGACATTATCCCATCCCCTAAAATGTCAAGGGACATGTCCAGCAAAAGGTGAGTTCCTACAGTACACAAAACTTTACTTTAACAAGAAGAGACTACCCAAAGACCCAAGACTGAAGAAAGAGACACACTACTGTCAAAATTTAGACACAAAAAACTCCCCTCTACCTGACGAGACTTTTTCCATCTGCTGGTTTTGCTGTGATATTGTCCTCTATCTGGTGAAAGAGACCATTATCAAAATATGTTGCTGGCATCAGAGAACATCTTGAGCATGCACTATTACAGAGCAGTGGGAATTAACAGAGGCTTCAGGGCAAGACTCCAGAACCTTCCTCTTTAGGTTCCTCCTAGCACACACATCTACTAGAAAACGCTGTATGACCACACACCTAAGTTTTGGTGAAAGTGTAGCTGTCAAGGTACATAAGAAATTGGTAATTTTTTTTTTTTAAAGGACATCCTGGTGTACTCTCTGCAGCTTACCAGTCTTACTGGTACAGCAGAGACAAGGAGAAACAGAAAATAAATCAAAGGACAAAAGCTATCCAGAGCTTGTCCTCTCAGCTTCACACCCTCCACACAGATAGCTGTCAAAACATATATTTATATCTTAAGAAATAAGCAGACTTACCAAATTGTAACTGATCTTTGCTGGATGCCATTTAAATGCGAAAGTGTAACGTTGTTTCTCTGTCAGATCCAAAGACTCAGTTGTATTTAGAGTTCCAGAAGTTATGTTTAATGACTGCAGTTTAGAAGTCTCAAATGTCATGTAGCCAGTCTACAAAGACAAATTGCTACAGATTTCTGTGCAACTGCATATTTGTCTACACTTTTGAGGGAATGTTATGAACTCTGGGGAGGGTCAGAAGTTTAGGCATGTTACTTCTGAGGTGCCAGAGATCATTAACATCTCCTAACTAATTTTTGATTTGTTTTTTACATCAAGCATTAATTCAATTTGATCATTGTTTTTTGTTAGTTTAATTTTTTACACAAGCTTCAAAGTTACATGAGCTTCCCACAAGCACTTTGGAATAGCTGTTATATTTTCCTATTTCTTGCTCCAGATAAATCAGGCTTACCACAACCACCGAGTAAAATTCTCTTTAGCCACAGAAGTAGCACTAGCATAAGATGTGATGCAGTATTTTCCAAAAAGCAGAAATTACATGTTTTAAATATTCAAAACACATTTAATCAACATAAAATACTTCAACCATTATTAAACATGCTAGTGCTACACTAAAATAGGCCCTTTGTTTTATAGGATTATCAAAAGCACTTTATAATCCACATCTGGATGATAAAGTGTCTGTAACAGGGAATTGAGCATTCCATACCTTTTATTTTCAGGTATGTACCATGGTTACATCAGTTCCCTGTCAGTATACAGTTTGGGTGCCCTTATCTTCTCCTCAAAACTCTGTTTCCTTGTGAAGCAAATTTGGAGGAGGTTGGAGTAAGACCTCTCCTCTTCAAGGGAAACAGAACCACAGGCTATCAGAGAACACTTTGTAAGATCCTTATAAAAAACATCCATCAGAGCCACCACATTTTGCTGTCAATAGAACTACCAATGCTGTGCTTTATTAGAACCTGAAAAAGTTATTTGGCAGCAAAACATGAAGCTTAATGTGTGGTGTGGCCACAGAATTAGCTCCCTGTTAGGTAAGTAATTTCTCACAGTAATAGCAGCAACTCACTAGAGATGAATGCACATTTATTGCAGGAAGGGGCTACTTTTAGGAATTGGAACCATTTTAACAGGAGTAAGACTTTCATCTAGTTCCAAGTCACTTAATTTTATGAAAGTTTCTTGGAAAAAAAGATACTCTAGTCAGATCAAAGTAGTAATACTTCAAATATTAACATAGTTACTATTTCTTCAATCACTGTGTTTTCAATAATAATTCATTCCACAATACAAAAAAAAAAAAAAAAAAGAAAAATAATTAAAATTATTAGAGTAACAAAGTCCTAGAAAATAATCAATTTTGAACCATTAGTTAAGAATTATTCTAACTTACTCAAATTTTTTTTAGCTTAATTAATTTTAATTCTTTTTTTCATATTCCACATCTGCCCTTACTTACCTCCTTATTAGGTGCTACATCCACACTCTGAAGTTGAGGCTGGAACTGAACTGTTGCAGGAACAGAACCCAGATTTATTAATTTAATTTGAGCTTGCCCAGCTGCAGGGAAAACTGGATAGCTTTTCTATAGGACAGAAAAAAAAGTAAAATCAGTGTTCGAAGTCACATGGAAAAATTACTATAATTGCTGTAATCTTTATAATTTCATGTTGAAGATTAGCATTTGCCTGCTGATCTGTGATCGTCTGACAGAGGAGACTTGAATCAGGTTTTGTTACTAATCTCACAAATTGCTTTAGGAAAGAAATCTCTCATCCACAGCAGACACCCCTAGACAGCTGTTCAGATCTTGGAATCCAATGGATCGCCAACCAGAGGTGTTGCTAACATCCCAGCTACAGGGGAAAGAGTCATTGGGTTCAGGCAGGGCACCTCCCTTTGGGGCAAGGAAGGTTAGGGGAGACAAATCCTTCCTTCAACAAGTGCCATCTTTACTCCTGCTATAATGATGCTTCGCAGACTGTCACACTTCACCTCCAAACTAAATATCAGAAGAGGTCAAACATACAAAGTAGCCCTCTGGTAGGCCAAGCAAGTGTCTGGTTTTCGGCTTTTAGTTTCAGTTTAAAGATTGAGGTCTTTAATGCATAATTTGTATTAACTGCAATATGATGTTTTGCAGAATGGTGTTTGTTGCTAGTTAATTTTACTGTGCTAACCACAGTATTGCAATATACCTCCCCTCCCTCTAGTTCTATGCTTATATGATTGGCTCCAAATTTAGGTGTCTTGGTTCAATTTCCCATTAAATACACCCTTTTTTTCCTGAATTAGCAGCTATATATTAATAGTAAATACTCATATGTGGCTGAACTTACATCTATTTGCACTTGCACAAGGGCAGCAGCAACAAAAGCCATAGAGCCGAGGAACATCCCCACAGTCATCTTCTTCAGGGGCCTGGTACAACAAAAGACATGTGAGATTTAAGAGAAGTGCCAATTCAAAGCTTCAGTTGTTTGTTTTTTCTTTCTACTCTAGGGTACTCAAATGGCCACGACTAACACATTATCACCATTTGAAGGCCTGATGTTATTACAGAAAAGGTACCTCTCAATTAATAGTTACTCTATCAAGAAATGCATCTTTTCTGCAACAACATAAATAACCTGTTACTCTGCATCTGCTGGGCTCAAACATTGACTGACCATGATTATTAGGTTCCTGAAAAAAATCTGGTTTTGTAGGAAGAAAAAACTCAATCCAATACAGTTGTTAGCTGTAAAACAAGAAAGAGACAAGAAGATATGCCTTTAAAAAAGGAGGAACAGCTTGTCTCCATATTGCTATGTTTAAACAAGATGAACAAAAATGGTCAGGGAAATTTGTTGAATTAGGAGACATCTACTGGTATGCAGTTAAGCTGTAAGGATAGATTTAGAGTATATATGTCATTTGTGGCATCATTTATGCAGTGCAGATCATCTACACATGAATGAGTGTTGCCAGCACAGCAACTCCCTAGATTTTTAACAGCTATATGGAAAAACAGCATTGCACCTTAGCTCTCTGAAAATTGTTTGAAGAACTGTATTCTCTTCTGCCTCTGCAAGCACTCTTGCAACTGCTAGCCGCTTCCTTACCAACACTGAAAAATTATGTGTAATATCCCCAAAGCTCCACCTAGAAGGATTCTGTAAGCCAGACTCCCAGCTGAGACTGAACAGAAAATGTCTTGTGCTGCTTTTTAGCCCAAAACATGACAAATGCCAAGGATGTATGTTGCATTTCTACCTCCCATCCTTCAGGAGGGAGAGGGGGTAGACATAGGGGATATGGAAAACAATCAAGATCATCTCTCCTGCAATCAAAAGATTTTGTCCTTAACTGAAAAACATTGTTACTCTTCTCTTAGATTCTCCTCTTTTAATCTGTGGTGTCTCTACATACCATTTACAGTATTCTGGGGTTTTTTATATTTTAATTTCTTTAAATTATTAAACCCTTTTAAATAAACTTCTCTTTCATCCTTAGCTGAATGCTTGCTCTTGTTACATTAGGGCTGGAAGAGCCAGTAAAAGAAACCACTAAAATGAGCTTCTGTTGAAGTCAGATAATTACATCAACTTACGTAAAATTCAGCTTGCATTTCTTGATTAAAGGATAAACCAAAGAATCTACAACTGGGACCATTATAACAATCAGGATTGGATTCACAATCTGGAGAAGATGAACATGAGAAAAAAAATAAGTATTTTTCAAAGCACTTTTTATAAGCAAGGGCAATATGTACCTAATCTTTCACAAGCACTTGAAATTGGCAGATAGAAAATTAACATACCTGCATTTGGTCTGGTTGAATTTTAAAACCCTGGTGAAGAAAAAAAGAAATAGTTTTTAATATTGTGACAACAAATAAAATGGTTCTGAAAAGTGTTAATTAAAGAAAAAAAGAATAAAAAGTAACCTACAAAATCCCCATTCATTGCTGTGGCTTGCAGTGTCCATCTTGACCCCTTAAATAAGAGAAGAAAAAATTAGCTGTCACAGTAAATCAATGTTCTAAAGTTCCTTTTTAATCATTTTCATAAGTGAAGTGTTGGAATAAACATGCAATAGAACCAAAAGTAAAGCTGGTTTGCTACGGGAATATTCTTAGTCTGCAATGTTAACCTTTGAACAATGTGAGACTCATGGCCCACTCCTCTTCATTTACTTGTTTTGTGAAATATAGCAGAAAATAACTTAGCAGAAATGGGCTGTAGAGAGGGCAGGGCCATCCTGTGCAGGGCACTGCCGCGAGCTGGCACAGGAGCCCCCCCGGGGCCGCGTGTCACTGGCCTGAGCCCAGGCAGCTCACACATCCCACTCATCACACTTCCTTCACACAGCCCACAGCCAGAGGACAAGCCAGGGCTTGGCCTGCCTGGAGCCTTCTGCCCCAGAAACCAGCCTGAAGCTGGGACAAGCAGGGCAGACTTTAGGCTTGAGCCCAGGATGAGACAAGAACAGTATCACTGCATCTGTGACAAGATCTTTCAGCCTCCCACGACACAGCACTGCCCGAGATATTACCCATGGAATGAGCTTTGAGCTCTGAATTTCATAGCAGAGCTGCCTAATTGTAACAGGTCACACTGACAGCTACAGCTCACAGGCACTGGACTGAAGCAGTAGGATATGAGGAGTCTGGACCAAACTTCCATCTGACTTGGATAAGGCTTTCAAGCCCTGGTTCTCTCAAGCATCTTCCTAAATTCATACTTCAGTGCTTAACTGTGAATGATACTTTTGTGACTCTTGAGCACCCAGTCCACCAAGTGAATGGGAATTGCAGGCTTACACTTCTGCTTGAAGATGTAAGGTATTTATTACAGGGTGTGAGTGATTAAGCAAACTGGCTTAATCCAGATAATTTAAACCCTGGTTCTCCAGCTCATTTTTACAAGGACCCTAAATTTCATCTGACAATTGATAACTGAAGAAACATGAGCACTAAGAAAGCTTTAAATTACTGTTTCATCCCCTGAGTCCCAGGCTGATGCAAGATTTGGAGAGGCCTCAGTCATTGAATCTGCCCTGGGTATACTCAGATAAACTGAGATTGCCCCTGGCTGCAGATCATCGTGTACTGACATGACTCAGTGACTACCCTTTTGCAATAAAACCAGGATAAAGAATTTGTTTTTCCACACTCCCATAGAGACTGACATGGTACAGCTCTAGTTACCAAGCCAAACCATTTCTGCTTACCTGCTGGTCAAAAACTGCCCAGAACATGGGAAGAGGGATGTAAAGGAAAAGCACCTTCAACACCATCTTTATCTGAGCAATCAGTCGTTTCTGCAGAAAACAAGAATTACATAAGAGGAATTGGTTTAAAAAAGAAAGGAAAAAAAATAAAAAGAAACAGTTTCAGACTGCTACTCACATCGCAGCAACAGGTAAAGACCCATCATATAATGTTTACCCACACATTCAGCTTTGCATATTGTGGCTCCATCTGATGATTTCTATTAAAACAGTACAAAGTCTGCTTGTGCATGGGAAGGGCTGCTGGTTAAAGGTGACTGATACCAGAGAGACTTGGGCCGCTTTGCTTGTACACTGATGGCAGCACGAGATTCAGCACTTAGTGAAGTGGGCATTTGTGCAATTTGAGGCAACTGAGGAATTTCACCTAAGAACAAAGCATACAGGCAAAAGGAAAATAAAGGTGACAGGCTAAGGTTTGTGCTGCCATTGGCAAAAGGATAGAGAGGATAGCAGGCAAGAGACAAGCCGGGAACTATGGGATACAAGGCCTTGAAAGTCATGATAAGAAATTGTACTGAGGCTAGAGGGAATGCAGTGTTTACCCACTTAAACTGAAATTCCAAAGTAAAATTCTGATGTTTCATACCAAGACAAGTATTATGGCCTTGTGCATTAACCAGGACAGGCAGCATTATTTCCGTTTTCCCCTCTGCAGCCATGAGATACAGGAAAGAGAGAAGGAATGATAATTCTTGCTATTTTCTTAATCAAAAAACTTAAATGTTTGTATTTGTTTGGCAAAGGAAAGTCTTTTTTTTGTCCCCCTTGAACTTTCCTGGACAGCCTATGATTACACAGAGCATTGAGTCTCACAGCTCTATTTTCTCCCACAGGAGCTGAGGAGATAACCTGCAATGCCAGGAGAGCACAGAGGTCTGGTCAGGTCAGCTCCTGAAGGATGGAGAGACCCAAAACTATTTGCCCAGTGCATGAGGCAATGGATGAGAGCAGACAGAGAGAAGCTGTGGGTCAGCAGTTGTCACAGCAGAGGCTTCCCCAGTACTTACATCATACTTTTCACTTGCCCAGTCCAGCCAGTGCTCTCTCTTGGGGAACTCCTTGCTGAGATGTTGAAACCTGTTTTTGATGGCAAACTGAGGAGAGACAGAATTATGTTTAATGGCACTACAAATATTTAAAACTATAAACTGCTTTGTCTTTAGAGATTATACTCTTGGCTTCTTGCATTAAGAGGGTGCTAAAGGTGACTTGACTTCTGTTAACCCCATCATCTAGGGGAATGTTGTTTTTAAGGCCTCACACTGCATAACTAGCATACACCTGAGGTCAGGTGGACCAAACAGTTCAGAGCAGTCCCTCTCAACATGGGTTGCTGTGAGAAGCTGAAAGATCTGCCTTCTTCAGACTTACTTACATACAACAGTAAATAGTGTCATATGCACAGGTTTGCTGAGCTGAATGGTTGTAGGAGAGAAGCTACTATGACAAGCTCCCTCTTGTAGGTATGTCTCACACCTTGACATTGAATATACACAAATATGGTCCTAAAGGACTCCTAAGATTTTCCATGGAATATCGCCAAGCTGGGCTTTAGGAGCAGAGCTCTAAGAAATGTCACCTACAGAGATCTGGTTTTGACAGTGCCTACAAGATAAGCTAGCAGATCTGTAGGGGTGTGTTGATTTGGCATGGCCTGACTTTTGGTAGTGGGAGAGTGCTAGAGCTTCCACCATGTCTGACAGAACCAATCTCTGATGGCTCTGAAGATGGACACACTGCTGGCCCAATTTGAGAGGTTGGTAATGCCTCTGTGATGACATATTTAAGAAGAAAAAACAGGGCATGTGCAGTTTTTCTCCAGAAGTGGGGAAGCACCATATTAGCACTGCCCATAGCAATACACCAGCTCAGGACCCTGCCTAACCCCCCCTAACTAACTGCACTGCGAGCAAAAAGGGCGGGGGGTTTGGCGGCGGTTTTTCTTTCCCGGCCCCCGGCTTGAGGGGCCTTTAATTGGCCCGGGCCCGGTTGCCCGTTGCGGTGGGACCACCCGGCTGACAGCAGAAGCATGACAAGTGAATCCCCAGTGCAGAACCTAAATGAGATCAACTTCTCTGTGCTGCAGCATCCTGCAACAATCTTTGAATCACTGCAACTTGTTCACAATGGTACCTACAAGCAACAGTTTTTCTTCTAGTCAGAGAAGGAAGTGAGGACATGAGGCAAAACACCACGGTGACACCAGGGTCAGTGGAGAAGAAAGAGGGGGACAAAGTGCTTCAAGCATCGGAGCTGAGGTTCCTCTGCAAGCTGTGGTGAGGACTATGGTAAAACAAACTGTTCCCCAGTAATGCATGGAGTCCATGGTGGGTGTAGAGATCCACTCGCAGCCCATGGGGAGAGTGCTTACACAGGAGCAGGTGAATGTTAGAGAAGAATGTTAGCAGCTGAATGTGGCCTAGTGGGAGATCTGAAAAGAGAGAGAGGGCCCCTACTCCCAGAGATAGAAAGAGCCCTTGCATCCAAACTAGAACAGCCTACCATTAAAAGACTGCACCCTGTGGATGAGTGACCCATTCCACAACAATTTTGGGATGACCGTTTGCCTGTGGGAAGGGACCCCACAACATAGCAGAAAAAAGACTCCTCTCTCTGAGCAAACAGAAAAAGATCTCAATTGATGAACTGACCAAGACCCCCACACCCTGTCTTCCTGCATTGTTGGTGAGAAGGAGGGAGTGGCTGTGAGGGAAAAACATGTTTTAAAAGCATATGTTTACTTCTCATTGTCCTCCTCTACTCTGTTGATAGTGAATTTATTTTATACCTTTAGATTTGAACCTGATTTGCCCTTGGAGTGTGTTTTTTTTCCCCAGTCCTTGTCTCAACTCATGAGCCCTTTGATATTTTTCCCTCTCCTTTGCCCACCTGTAGCAAAAAAAGCTATGCAAACTACTCTCATGGGTGCCTGGCATTTGGCCAATGTCAAACCACAACAATTGAAAATGAAGAAACTTGTACATGAATAAATGTGATCTCAAAGTCAAGGCACTGCAAAGTTGGGACATGTGGTGCTATTCATGTAGATTCCACTCCTTTCCTTGCACAATCACACTGATGTACAACCTCCTGAATTTCCTTAGCACAGTGGGGATCAATAAACCTCAGCATTGTAAACAATATTCTTGTAATAAGTAATAAGTTTTTGCTGATAAGATGCACTAGTAGCTCTGCTCTTGACTCAGCTCAAGACACGTTTGTCTCTTGCTGCATAAAGGTGCACAAATACAGAAGGAAATGTTCCCTAAAGTTGGGATACATTTTTACATAACACCGACACCTTATTTTGTTTCCTATGTGTATAAATCCACACATAAATCAAGATATGCATAAAAAGACACCCTAAATGTGGAGGTGTCAGTAAGAAGCCTTCTGTAATAAAGCAAAAAACTTCAGAGACTTTCCTTATATTAAGACAGAATTCTGATTTAGGCACATTCACAGAACAGTTTTAGGAGTTGCTGCCAGAGATTGAGGAATGTAAGCAATACTTACTCCAACACATTTGGAAACTTCAAGCATTACATTTCCTTGTGGTTTAGCTTTCTTGTACATTTTGCTTCCAGCTACGAACACAACTACAGTATGCAAACAGAAATCAAAAGAAACTCAGAATTAAATTAAAATAACAGCAAATAATTTAGTATGGAAACTGTAAATCAAGGAGTTAATCAGGGTGGGATTAAGCCTCCTAAGAAGCAATGCGATTGCCTATTCACATGCTATCATACAGTAAGACAAATCAAATTGATACCACCAGATTACTTCTATTCAAGACAAAAACCTAAATCTGGAAACTCTTAAAGTAAGCGCTCAGTGGGAGGTTTGCTCAACTGAGGGATGGTCAAAACAAGGGCATTTAGGACCTTGACTCTGGCCTTGTTGTAGGGGCTCATTTTCAGGAGCTCAGGATGCTGCAGCTCACATCATGGAGGGACACACAAGGCTCTGCCTGAACTGCAGGACTGGCCAAGGTGTCCTCTGTCCTCAGCCTCATCATCCCACATGCAGGCAAGACACAGGCAAACCCCCACAGCTGCCATCCAGCCTGCCCTGGGCTCATGGGCAAGGCAAGGTCATTGGTAGCCAGGCAGGCTCCCAGTCAGCACCATGAAGGACAAGGAGCATGAGGGATGCTGTAGTATGTAATGGCAGCCCCAGTTTCTTGGTCAGCAGTAAGGCTCAGGGAGTGACCTGTAGCACAGCTGGTAAAAATGCAGGTGTTTGAGAAGCAGTGACATATCAAATATGGGATTTCTCCAGTGCAGGAACAATTACTTCACACCATCTATAATCCTAGACTAGAGATAATGTCCAAACTACACCTTTCCTGAGAGTTCTCACCCTACATTCAAAAGATCTATTTGTACACACCAGTAATCCAAGAAACACAGGCAGTAATTTACATAATGTACAGAATTTAAAGCTATTCAGGCCTCACCCCCACCTCATCTGACTGGTAAATCAGACACTTCTATGAAAGCGAGTAGTTCAGATTAATCCCACCCACTTCCACACCCAGGAAAAAATTTAAGTCAAAAACCACAGAAATTATCAGGTAATGGTAGAGGTCAATACCAGGGGATTTCTATCAGACTTTCATTATTCTGAGATTGTTATCATCTAATTATCAAGGCAACAGGATGGCAAGAGATTCACTTACCCAAGGCAATAGCCATGAGGATAGCAGGAACTCCAAAAGCAAGTGGGTAACATTCCTGTTTGGTATGAATGCCACACTCTGAAGCTAAAGTAAAAATAACACCAAATAAAAGTCTAATAAAAACATCAGCATTGTTGATGTTTTCCGTATGGTTTCTGTTCTTTGAATTCACTGAAAACTCACAGGGGAACAACAAACCAGTCTACCAACATCCTCAGAGTGGAGGATCAGTATCCAACTTATCTTTCATTATTGGAAAGTGGATTTATGTATCAGAGAACAGTTGTGATTGGAAGGGACTTTTGGGCATCATCCAGGTCAAGTGCCCTGTTCAACTAGGGCTACCTGGATGCAATTGTCTAGGACTGTGTCCAGAAGGCTTTTGAGTATTTCCATGGATGGAGACTCCACAACCTCTCTGGGCAGCTTGTGCCAATTCTTGATCACCCTCAGTGTGAAAAAGCATCTCCTGATGTTCAGAGGGAACCTCCTGTATTTCAGTTTGTGTCCATTGCCACTTGACCTGACACTGGGTACCACTGAGGAAAGCCTGGCTCTGTCCTCTTAATTTCCCATTAGGTATTTTTATACTTTGATAAAATGCTCCATTTGCCTTCTCTTCTCCAGGCAGAACAGCCTAATGCCTCTCAGGATCTCCTCACATCAAATGCCCCCTTTGCCTTCTGTTCTCTAGACCAAATAGTATAATGCCTCTCAGGACCTCTTCACAGGAAATTTACATCTAGTTTTACACTGAGACATGAAGAATAACAGTAGAATGTTCCAAAACATGTCCTTAGTAAGAAAGGAACTAGATTACAAAAGTTTTGAGCTAAGCTCATAAACAAAGATTCTAGTGATGTAACTGTGGCTTGTTGAAACAAAATCACAATCACCAGCCCCCTTTCCTCCTTGGCATTACTCACAGATTTGACTCTTACTGACTTCAGCAGTATAAAATAAAACGCTAAACAAAATTATTGCATTCTTCATCATACTTCTTCCAAGAGAAGAATTAGAGAGCATGGTTTGGGAAAAAATGTTTGCTTGCAGATAATTAATGTCTTGATTTAGATGTATTAGTCTTCTAGTCAAACCTTTTCCGGTTGAAACAGGTTATCATTTCCCTCAGCTCAATTTGTCCTTTTTTTCCAAGGAATTTTCACCCTGTATCAGGAAAGAAGTAAACTACATGCTATGCCTTATGCATCTCTCCTTCCTTTTTTTGAAAATGATAGAATTTGCATTAAGCAAACACCTAAAACTCTTCTACAGAGTCTTTTTCAGTCAAGAAATCCAAAGGCCAGAGGTTCAGCCTGGTGCTTTTGGGTTATTCCAGAATTCACATGCTGTTTCCTTGCTTTTGAGAAAAGTAGCCTTCTGAAACTGCTGGCAAGAGCATCCATACTGCACCATGTATGTGCAAGCTTGCCACAGAAATCCATATGCATATAAGTTAGAAAATTGCTGGGTTTTGTTTAGGATCATGCTATTCCTTACAAGCAAAAGAGAACATAACTTATTTATTAAACAATATGAAAAATTATTTACTTTGTCACATGGATTAATATATTCCTACATGCAGAGATGCTTCTGTACTTAGCATGGACATGTTTCCAGAGGAGAAGGCTCTCTCTCTCTCTCTCCTTCCTTTCCCCCAGGAAGCAATGCAATTCTTTCTAGTCTTTCTAGTGTGATAGTTTTAAAGAAGACATTGGAAGACGTGACATATTTGTACCTTCATGGAATTAAAATATGCATTAAGCGAACGAGCTGTTAGCTCCAGCATGTCTTTTCAGCTCTAGTACTTCTGATCCCAAAGGCAATGAAGGTTTTCAAGTGGCTTGTTTTTGAGAGCGCCTCATCTCTGAGAAGCTGGATGACACACTGAAGACTATTTGCTAGATAACTCCAGTGTGTCGGAGAACAGAACATTAATTTAAACCAGATTGGACTACAATCCAACATGCCTTTTCTGGTGTTTAACTATTGTCAGCAAACATGTGACCTTACCTCTGATAGTTGGAGTGACTAAAGTAGATAAGAGACTTCCGGCATTAATGGACAAATAAAATAGAGAGAAGAAGGTACTTCTTTGCTTTTCCTACAGTAAAAACAGAAAGATGTTTAGAAAGGCTTAGACACAACCACATTGATGAGCCTAGATCAAAAAAATCAGTGCCTTTGTTTTCAAAGTTCAAGACAAATAATTAACTAGCACCTTCTTCAGCCCCTAAGGAAAATCCAGCAGTAATGCATCTATACAAACATGTATATTATTAGAGTACTATAAACATTAGTTAGAATATCTGTATAACTGAAAATCTGAAAGATGTTGTTACCTGATCATCTTCAAACTGATCTCCACCAAATGCTGACACACACGGTTTGATCCCACCAGTACCCAAGGCAATAAGGACCAAGCCAACTATGGACAGAGCGCTGGAACAAAGGAGAAAAGAAAAAAGAATCATTTTTCTTACATTTTTCGTACATAATAGACTGGTTGAAAGACAGTTGAAATTCAAGTAACATAAACTTAAGTTGCCCCATCTTTCACTTGTCTGGGACAAAAAATGTGTACAAGGCAACTCACATGTTCACTGCTATAGTATCAGGAGTGCCATCGTGGTTGTGATCCGTCAGGTCATTTATGGAGCCCACAGACAGCACTATCTGCCCAATCGCATAGACAATGGACAGGTAGAGAATGGTCCTGTTATCGAGAGAGGAGATACATTTTCTTAGATATGTTAACACACTTACACACAGATAATGCCACAGCTAATGCAGACTTCTGCTTACTTTAAAGATTCCTGGTAATTTAAAAAACTAACAGATACAATAAATTACTGAACTTATTAGAAGCTACTATAAAAATCTGACCACATACCACTGCCACAATATTTGTATTCTTTTTATTATTATAGGTAGCTTTTAATTAATTAAGGTAGTCTTTAATTAATAAAGGCATGACAACACATGGATTCCATAGGTATAACTAAGTCACAATATCTTCAGTGGTTACCTTTTTAATGGCCAACTCGAGAATGCTATTTTCATATTTTTAATATGCATATGTCAAATGGACTACTCTGCAAAACTAAAATCTGAAATTTACACTGATATAAGTATCATTAAACATTCACTATGTTTTTTCTATTTTAGTTGCAGCAGTAAACAAAAAAGAAAAGTCAAAATTCTGCTTCAAATATGGAAATTCCCCTGAAATACTGTTATGAACAACAGCTCTATACCCCCACTCTCTTCACTGTAAATGTAAGTGTACCAACATTTTTTACACTCAGATCTGAGTGAGAGCAGCACTGAAGAGTGCAGGCTGCAGGCTTTCAGCCTGACTACCTCGTCCAGGAGGTGCCTAGGATGATAGTACAGCATAATCACCAACCCCCCCCCCCCCCCCCCCCCCCCCCCATCCTGGCTTTAGGGTCCAATCCTCTTTTCTGTAGGTAAAAACATGTTCCATTTTAACTCTGTTGGACCTTAGGTACGTGGCTGTAGTTTAATCTATGTTCACTTGTGTCCTTGGGTGGGCCTCCATTCAATAGGCACAGACACGGGTCTCGAGTTTGGAGGAAATGCAGGAGAAAAACAATGCAATGATGTGAAAATATTTAAAACCCCTCTTTTCAGGAGTAGTCCCAAGCCAAGTGCAAGCAGGAGAATGAAGGACAGTCTTCAAAGACCAAGAACAATCCAACTATTCGACATAGGCAAGAGACCCTCACAGCAAGCTTGGAGCAGTACCCTGACACAAGAGGGACATTGACCAAGTTCCTCTCATTTTAAAAAAAGGTTTCTCTGACTTAAAATTGACCTTACTTGTAGTGTAGTTAAAAAAAAAAAAAATCCATAAAGCAGGGCAATAAGGAATCTGCTGTTTAGTGGTATTTAATAGATACAGTTGAATGGGTTGGGTTTTTTTACTAGCACTTCCATAGAGTTACTTTATTTACCTAGCAACCTGGGAAAAAGTTTCCAGTTAAATCTGAGCTAATCAGGAGTGAAACTTCTGAGTTTTATTTGTGAGGCTTATAAACCTGCTGCAAAGACTTACATAATTGCCACTGCATTGATGGCACACGATTTAAGAAAATAACTGATTTCTGTACTATTTTCCCCAAGAAATTCACATCAAACAGTATGTGAGCAGGTCCCTTCACATTTCTTGACTTTGTACATTGCACAAAGTACATGGACTGTGGAAGATTGGAGTCTTCCCTTTAAGAGTGCTTATCAGTGCTTAGGTAACCTCCTCTTCCTCTTGTCATCATAGATTTGATTTTTTAAAATTCTTGTTTAAGCCTTTCTCATTACACCTTCCTGCATTTTTGGGTATTAAAGCATAATGGTATATCCTAAAACATGTTTTCTCTTGTTTAAGCCATCCTAACAAGCTCCTGTTAAAGGTCTGGGCCTTTCAGTTGTGGCACTAGCATATCCAAGTACCAAAGGAGAAGAGATGCAAGGTCTGCAAAGTTTCATTTTGATAAAACATGAAAAAGCCAAAATAAATTTAAAAAACAAACCACATCATCTAGACAAGCGAGTGTCCAACATATTTAGGCTGCAATCTGTAAGACATCCAGCTACTTGCAGTGAGTTTGCTCTGCCCAGAGCAGCTGCACAGAGCACACAGAGCCCTGGGCTCCCAGGGACTGTCCCTACAGCGGAAGAAGACAGTGCAGCTGACTGCACAGCACATCTCTAATCTCTGGGAGACCTTTGGCAAGTCCACTTACATTCATGGCTCATAAAATTTTTACCGTGCTTTTTCTCGGGCAAAGTAAACACTTTTAGAATCAAAACATCAGGAAAGGAGAGGGAGATAAAGCTGTTGTAAATAACTTGGTTACATTTCAAAGCACTTCAGTGGTACTATCCTGGCCAACTAGCCTGCAGCTAAAGACACAAAAGACATCATTTATCATTTAGAGAAAGAATTGCTGCTCAGTAAGACCCCTCACTGATCTGTCAATTCTGAAATCACATAGTATTTTAAAACTTATTCTAAGGCCCAGTTAACACCTGACAACACAGTAGTTCACTATTTCATTGGCCATTTGCAACAAGTAGATAGACTGTCCTATGTAATTATAATCCCCAGTAACTATTTTCACATCTTGGTGAATACTCTCCACAGTTTACATTTTGTCCAGGTGAGAGGAAGAACATGCAGCATGCTCAGAAAGCATGTTACCACCCTTAACCAACTAGCAGGAGTTTGTTTACTCACAGTGCAGTTTCAAGTCTGAGCTGAAATGAAAACCTCAAGTTTTGGTGAAATAAAACAAACTATCCTTGAGCAGTCAACACCAGCTCTGAAGCTGTTGTTGCTCACAGCTGCAGTTTTAGTTGATGATTTTAGTAACACTGGTTTCAGGTGAGCTTTCAAGATCTTGGGCTGCTTTCTGAGGAAGCACTCACTTAAACTTTCCCAGCCAAGAGTCTGCAATCATTGCTCCAAGGATCGGCGTCAAGTAACACAGAGCAACAAATGTGTGGTAGATGGCAGTGGCAAAGTTGTCTTCCCAGTGTAGGAAACGTGTGAAATACAAAGTGAGCACAGCTGTAGGAAGAACAGCAAAACAACAGGTTACAAACACAAGTCAGGCCTGGGTAATGCTTAGCACAAGGAGACAAGGGACGTACTTTTCATGCCATAGTAGGAGAACCTCTCGCAGAACTCATTGATGACGATGAAGAAAATGCTCAAAGGGAAGCCAAAGCAGAGCACCTGGAGGCAATAGACAATGTGAGCTCAGAGCTGTGCAACCCAGACTAACACTCCTCACTGTAACTCACAGCTTAAGCAAGCTCAACATGGACTCAGTGCGAGTGGGTAGGCACTCAGGGTCTGGAGGCTGCACAGGCTTCTGTGGAATGACAGTAATTCACCTGAACCAAGAGTCAGTTACCACTTTCATCTCTTGGTCCCCAGAGGTCTGCACACTTTTCATCTGCCCTTTGCAAGAGACCTTTAACAATACTAGAAATTACCTACAAGTGTTGCATTATGCACATTTGAGCTCTCCAGCACCTAACCCTTACAGATTTTAAAGACATTCCAGAACATTCCAGATGCAAGATAGTTCTTCTCCATACTCAAGTTTAATTTTAAAATGACATTTTTTGGATTGCAAAAGTTTAGGAATTCAACTAATCCTTATTTTGTGTGAAACAGGAAGAAGTTAACTTTGCAGATCAAAAGGAAAATCAGACATGGAAATTATGCCTGACACCAGAAGATTGGAGAGCCACTGTCTCCAGCAAAGTCTCAACAAACAGCACAACACAACGCTTGGGTGCTTGGGCTTTTTTTTTTGGAATCCTGCAAAAGAAATTAAAATAAGAAAGTGGCAGGAACATTGTTGATTGATCTGACTCAGTTGTGAGGATGCCTGAGCAGCGTTGACCTTCGCTGTTTGCAGAACTAAGTATGTACTACATATCCGACCCATGGTTTGATGAGCAGGCTTCAGAGCAAGAACCCAATTTCAGCTGAGGCAAGTGCCAGGTGGGACTCCTCTAGCTTTAGAGCACACAGATTTTGAGCCCTAAATATAAACCCATCACTCTTGATTTATCATATCCTCTATGGGCAGAAAGAGGTGTCTCCAAAGGAAGGCTATTCACAAATATCCCAAAAGATAAAATTCACTTGAGGCTGCCCATTTCCTTCAGCTGAAGGCAGCAGGAGGTTTAGACAACTACTCCCAGCTTGGACACAGGTGTTGGTGGGCTGGAGTTGACACAGAAGAATGCTTTGTGCCTCATCCACACAGCATTACCCTAAGCCATACAAATGGTCACAGGATGGAGAGTCGCACACTGATGTTTTGGTTCAGCACATGTTAAGTTGGTTACTGAAACAGTAGCCCAGGCTGCATGACTTGTAATTGGGAATAGCCCAGGTGGAGTGGAGGGAATGTCTGTTCCTGAAGCAGAACAAAGACTTCCCCATGTCTTTTCTTGTCTACAGAGGAAAAGAAAGACAGAGCAGTCCTGGCCCAGGAACTGGTGGGACCCATCTCCACCTGAAATTCACAAAACCTCACTAAAATCTTTTGACCGCTTGGGGTTCTCACAGACCTCTCCAATGTTTTGCCATCACCCTACGCAAAGACCTTATTCTTTAGGAGGGTGTTATGTGTTGGTCTGGGGAGGTCACAGTCCAGAAAAGCTAGATTTTTGTTTCAAGCCACCACTGCTTCTGTGCCTTGTGGAGCTGACCTGCATTCCCATGCTAGCACAGCATGCTGGTGGGTTTTTAAGTGGCTTCTTCCAGAACTGGAGGGAGTCTGCATGTCACAGCTGGACATGAGCATGGACAGGGGCATGCAAGAGAAAGTTACTGGGTCTTTCCCAGGTGACAGGCCTTATGTTTTTCCAAGATGCTTCAAGCAAGAGACTATGCAATTAATCTTTGCTAATATATGATGTGTTCTTGTTCTTGTTTTGTGCTGTACGCTGTCCACTGTTACAGTATTCACGTGCCCATACACATTTACCAAAACCTTTTCTGTTGTTACCCTCATTGGTCAGGAAGCACCAGATCCACCACCAAAAAGGTAACCTGAAGGTTATGTTTTATAATGCCCTCTGTAACCTAGCTCTGCCCTGGGGATGCCACTGTCCTGCTGCACAGTTTTGTCTGCTGAGGAAAAGTCTATGCAGTAAAATCTTGCAAGATAAGAAATGCAAAGGCAGACTTATGGTTGCTGAGACACATGTCATTTATAGTTCAAAGATTCAAGAGTAGTGGATGATGACAACTCAGCTGCAAGAAGGATGGGCTCCAGGGACCAATCTCCTCCCTACCAACACGTGCTCAGTCAGCAAAGGCTCTTTAAACATTTTATCAGGGTGTTGAGCAAATTAATGCTTAGCTAGAATTTAATAAGTTACTAGTCTGCTTTTGCACATTTGCCAGTAAGCCTTTATTGTATACATTTAAAGTATGTTTAGAGGGTGATTTTTACTTTGGGCTCTGCTGACATTACCAAAACAATGTAAACCAAAGAGGATCTGCAGAGCAGCTCTTTATCAGGGATAACAATACTTACCGACTTGCCGGTAGTTTTTCCACCTGTGGGGGGAAAAAACCAAAATACTAATTAATGGCAACTAATAATAATACTCCCTTAAAACCCATGGAAGAGTCAAAAAAGGTGCAACTCTAAATACATATTGAAATATAAACACAATACTGGTCAGTTTTCAGTTTATTAAATGGAGACTTTTCATAGTTATTAGGCAAAACTTCACTCGATAGCCTTTGGTTTTTCAGAGTGTACATAAATTCATACGCTCCTAGGAAAAGCTCAAAAGGACTAACAAGTCAAAGCATCCCATGTCTGCTTACCACACATCATTCAAGGTGGTGGCAAAGCAGCCACCCACAGATGATGAGTCTTGTTATAACTCACTCCTGGGGATATTACCTTAAAGGCAAGTCAAGACTATAGAATACACTCAAGATGCCCTGCCAGGGATGGAGGTCAAGTCCTGAAAAGGGACTTACAGCGGAATGATTATAAAGCCCCAACTGAGTGATTCACTTTAGCAGGCATTCCCATAACCTAAATCCTTAACCTGAGAAGACCTGAAAGAACAGGGGGGCCCCACTGAGGGCAACAAGAGCAGACAGGTGCTCCAAGTGCTGCCAGGAGTAGAGGACCTGGCAAGAGCAGCTGGAAGTGACTTCAGAGCTGCAAGCACTCCTGCAGGGCTTCCTCGGCTCAGGAGACAGGTTTGAAGGTTGAGCTTTCACTGTGTACGATAAAGGCCCCGTGCCTACATTGTGGATGCCAACATTTTACATAAAACCACATAAGCAATCTCATTATCAGTAAGATAAGATAAAGTACAAGTTGTGAACTTTGAAATCCCTGCTTGTAAATCAAGTCTGGCCATAATACATCTATAAGGCCATAATATATCTTATAATGCATAAGAAAAGTATGTTTGTGAAAATGATTATTTAGTCCATAGTCCACAACAGAGGAAAACAGCTGACAGCAACACTATAACGTTTGTAACTACAATATTAAATCAAGTAAATCCTCAGAAATCACGGAAACAGATTATTCCAATTCTTTCCTTCACGGCTGTGGGCAAGTACCTTCACAGCAGAGACAGTAGTACTGTGCAGGTGATTCAAGAATATATTTTCCTAGAGAGCAAGCAACATTCTGAAAAGTGCTAACACACCCACTTCAGGACACATGTGGCTACATGAGTTACTAAAGCTGTTGGCAATGTCCCTTCCACAAGCCACCAGAGAAGATATACTGAAGGATACCAAGGTGTCAGCAATAGCCCATCTTCATATCAACTCCTTGCTTATTTCCATTTGTTGGCCTTTCCAGGACATGTGTCAGTTTTTTTATAACATGCACAGAGAAAAACAGTTTGGGCAGGTCACTTCTGTCTCTTAGCTAAGCCTTGGGAGAAAATATCTAGGATCTGGCTTTTGTTGGGTTTGGGTTTTTTTTTCTGCTTTCCTTTTGGCAAAAGTATCACCTCTACAAGAAACCTTACCCAGAGGACATTGCAGAGGCAATTTTTTTTCACACAACATCATCTCACTTCAATGTTTAAGAGACGCAATTATTTATAAACATTTTGACTTTACCCTTCTATTCTCATTTTGCAGAGTGTTGGGGAAACTCCAGATAGCATTAAAGCAAACCTTTCAACACAGGCACCTAAACTGAGGAGTCCATTGTCAAGCAGTTTTAGTTCTATAAAACACAGAGCACCCACTATCTTGCATCATTTTCAGTGATAAATCTGAAGTTTGCTATTGGCATGTTGGAACAGTAACTTTGGGGCAACCTTCAGCCTCTTGTATTTTTTCCCCACAAAGAATGACCCACAGAACTGCTCATTTTCACAATACCAAAATACCAAAGAGCTCCACATCTTTCAATATAAAGCTCTAAACACCTTGATACTTCAGAAAAGCACCCACACAGAAACTACCCAAGCAATTCTATAGAGCAACAAGCCTGATAGTAAACAGGCAGACCCAGCTGCATCCCATTTCCTGCTCTTCAGAGAACTATCTCCATTTTCCTGGTTGTCTTTCCAAGCCAGCAGACCACTGGCAGTACCATTGACATGTCCTACCTGCTCACTACGGTTGCTTGTCCCCAGGACACAGATTTGCTTGCTGAAGATGCAATGGCACTTTCTTGGGTTGTGTTTTTGTTTGGGTTTTTTTGTTGTTTCTTTGTTTGTTTGCTTTTTGTTTCTTTTTTGGTTTTTTGGAGGTAGAGGGTAGGTATTTCAGGTTCCTTCCCTGAGTGAGACAAGGTTTCTCCAGCTCAGGAACTGCTTGCTATGAGAGACACCCATGTACTCAGACACTGCAGGACCAAAAGTCCAACGAAAGGCAATAGAGAGATACATCTCAAAAAAAGTCGGTTTTGTACCTCGACCACTCAGTGTTCCAGTTTAGACAGGAAAAAATCTTCAGGATTAATTAGATAAATGGGTTCTGTCCTTATCTGAAACTTCCAGCTATGTATCTATGTATTTAAAACACACTAAGTCAGTCCTAGGCAAACACTCTCAATAAAAAAGTATTATTTAACATCTGCAAGGAGCACCACATTTAACTTGTGCTCAGATCTCAAGCTCCACATGCCTTAGAAGTGTAGTGCAGGATAAACCTTACCGGCCAGGGGCTCAGCTCTCAGAGCTTACAGAGACCGAGGCACCATCTGTCGGCTCTCACTCGGGTTTCAAGGCAAGGGTGCATAAACCAGGATACAGCGTTGCCAGAGGGAGAACTGCCCCGGAGGGAGAGCAGAGACCCAAGAGCAGCCGGGTGTTTCCTCAGACCGACACCGAGCAGCAGAGGCAGCCCTGGGCGGGCGAGACCCTCGGCCGCGCTGTCAGCCCACATCCCGGCACGATCACCCGGCTCGGAGGGATGCTCATGCCGGGGCCATCCCTCCGGCGGGCCGGGCACCGCCGCTCCGCCGCCCGCTCCGGGCTGCCCCAGCCCGCACCGCCACACATACCCATGTCGCCGGCGCGGTCCGGAGCGCTCGGGGCTGAGAGCCAGGAGGAAGGTAGGGAAAAGGGAAGGCAGGTGCCGGGGGCGGCCGGGCTTTAAGGCGGCGGCGGGCCCCGCCTGGCCCCGGGCGCTGCGGGGCGGCGCCGCGCAGGTGTCGGGGCGGGGAGCGGGTCGCTCCGGCCCGGAGCCAGCCCGGGGCTCACCTGGCCTCACCATCGGCCCCGGCTGCCCCAGCGCTCCTCCCTGCCGCCCGCTGCCCTTACGGCTGCCAGACGAGGGCTGTCACTGCTGCTCGGGCTTGCTTCGCTCTGCGGCCGCCAGGAAGCGCCGAGACCGTGCCATCAGCTGAACCCAGCGCCGGGCAGTGCTGCCAGCTGCGCGTCGTTCCTTTGATGTCAACGGCGTACGGGAAAACTGAGTAAGCAAGTAAGTGAAATACACGCTGTGTGGAGAACAGCTTTCTGCCTCGCTCCCTTCTCTCGAGCCAAGGAAACAGATGTCCTAAACTATTGCTACCACCGGTTTCTAATGATCTCTGAGCTGTGGACTGGTATTTCTGAGAAGCTGTCCAGTGATGTGGCTGCATCCCTGGATGTGTTCAAGGCCAGGCTGGATGGGACTTTGAGCAACCTGGTCCCTGAGGGGAAAGTGTTCCTGCCCAAAGCAGGGCATTGGAACTAGAAGAACTTTAAGTTCCTCCAACCCAAACCATCCTGTGAGTTTATGTTTCTATGACCTACTTCAGTCATCTCTTGGTTAGTCCACATAGTCCGAGCTTGAGGTCTGAGCACAAGACATCTGTCCTGGGTGCCATTTGTGCCACAAGCCATAGGGAAAGCTGGGAGAATCCACATCAGTACAACACAATGTGTTTCTTGCATAGACCGTACTGAGCCATGTATGTGGAATAAATGGATGAGAAGCTGAGAATGACAGGAGAGCCAGAGTGCAAGGCTGACAAGAAGAATAGCTAGGGGAAGCTACATGTTACTAAGATCTGAATGAACTCAGAATGCAGAAACAGTAAAATATTAGCAGATATTAGCAAAAAAAAAAAAAAATCTGAAAGAAGAATGAGCTCCCTCTTTGAGGCTTGAAAATACAGTGGCACACTTTGGTTTATGCAACCAATCCAATAGCATTTTCTATGGCATGCACTTAATAATTACCTGGTCACTGAACAGGTTCATTTTGTCTTGGGTACAAATCAAACAAGCATTGCAATGCATTGCAATTTGGAATATCTACAGTCAGCACTTCAATGGTTAAAGGCTGCTCTGATTTGTGATACAGAACTACAGCTGAACCTGGATTTCTTAAATTGCATCTATATGAGGGTAATCTACTCAAAGGAGTTCTAGCCTCTTAGCAGTTACCTGTACCCTTAACTGTAAAAATTTGTGAATAAATTCTTAAGATAAAACATGAGTAGGTAGTTATAGCTATATTTATAGCAAGTTCTCCAGTAAGAAACATAAATCTTGCTGTATAAGCTCCACTGACATAGCTGATGCTAATCATGTATCACTTCTCAGCGGGATATAGATATATATCCACACAGTACAGGCAGTGTTGCATTTCTCTATTATGGTTACTCCAGCAAAACAAGCAATCTGTAATGCAGCAAAGAATGCTGAAGCCTCCAGTGGCTTATTTATCTACAGAAATAACTGAGATATTACCACCATTTTCTGTTAAAGTATGGAATTAAAGATGTCATTTCTTTTCTGAAAAAAGGGAAACTTCCCATTGCATGACCAGTGGTGGTAAAAGGTTAGTTCCCAGGCACATCTTATATAGATCCATGCATTTAGTGAGAACAAAGAGTAGGCCTTTGATGTTTCTTCCTAGAAAGTAACATACAACTGGGATTCAGATATTAAGGAAAACACTCGTTTTCTCAAAAATTTGGGATAAATGAGCTAGTTTGATCACCCGGCTTTCACTCAGGTTATCTTTCAATGTTTAAGGTTTCTATTAAAGTATTCACCCTGATGAGTACACATTTTAATTTGTCCCACAGAGAGATAAAAGGACACACAATTGCTTCACAGCTATTTCTGAGGTGGATTGACTTTTGTCCTTCAGTAAGTGGATGCCACAGGGTTGATCACTGTAGAGTTATTTTATGGTTGTATTTGTTGGAGGGACAGAATTTGTTCTCAGAGGATTAGTTTCCCACTGGGGCTCTCTTTCTAGGAGCTCTCAGAGCACAGCAGGGCTATTAAATATTCAGCAAACAAACATGCAGAAATGAATTTCTACTTTTTTTCTACAAAACTCTGAAGTCAAAGAATCACATTTCCAAGGTGTAATAGAATACTGTCCTGCTTCTTCCACACAGGATCCTGTACTCCACCATCTCATGGTCACCACAACCAAGACTACTCCCATCTCTCATATCCCAAACCAGTCCTTAGTTTGAGGTCCAGCAGCACAGGTCCTTAATGACTCTTCCACCACTCATGTCCAAAAGTTACCACCAGTGCTCTGCAGGAGCCTCTCATGCTGTGTGTTCCTACTGTAATGATCCTTCCCCAGGAGGGATAATTCCACATATTGCTCAGTTAAAGGTTGTAGCTTAGTCTGTAAGATTGTTTCCTTGTATCTCCTAGGAAGGAAGAATACAATCATTTCAGAGGAGCTGGTGAGGTGTGTCCATAACATGGAATAGTTGATAACAACTATTTATTATTTAAGGATGAACAACCTGAATTGAGATTGATTTTACAGAAAATTTGGGGAAATCTGTTCAGGTCATGTGTGATTTATAAATATTAATAGATGTTCTTTACTCATTTTTTAGATTGGAAGAATTGTAATAAAGAATTTTCAGGGATGTGCAGCTCATCAGGGATAGCCAGTATTGCATAGGATGCTGCAAACTGAGTGAGGTTGTACATTCATTCATTCTAAACAAAGGCTAATGGATCTTGCTCTACAATCATAATCCACTGGGTTTTCATGATGGTAGTAGCCAAACACTAACACTTGTCACTTCCCAGTAACTACTCTTCCCAAGATAATATATCCTTCCAATAAAAGTTTATTCCAGCTTTCCAGATAGTAAATCTCAGGGGGAAAGTGATTTGTTTGCTCTGACTTTTCTCACGCACTGTGTCGTGTTTTGCTAGCAGAGCAAATAATAGGTGGGATGGTCTGGAGGAGAAGGGGACTGCTGGGCAGGAGGGCACAGGGGTCTCTGGGAGGGGCTCTGCAGCAGTTCAGGTGCTTTCAAACAGCAGCAGTCCAGCTACTGGGTGCTGTGCACGCATAGTGACATAGTTGGTATTTGAGATGCTCACTCAACTTCTGTGCAAGGAGCAACTCTGGCCCTAAAACATATGAATTTGCTTATTCAGGAGTTTTCTAAACCAGACCAGGGACATGCAGAGAAAGAGGTTTCTACCAGCCCAGCCTGCCAGCCCAACTCAGCAGCATTCAAAGTAATCATCTCCAGAAAAAGGAAAAGAGTCTGTGTGCTGTGGCACACAAGGAGCTTGGCTTCTCTGGCACATCTTTATGTACACACACTGGATGTGGGTGGAGAGTAAAGCAGGGGAGCAGGAACTAGAGCACAGACTTGGATCTAAATAAAGTAAATGAGTGAACTCTATTTACCTGGAGCTGGCAAGCAAAAGCAATGGCAAAAGTCTTTGGCTCATTACCAGTGCCTGTGACAACATGCAGAGTTAACTAATATGGCAGATATAGACCTAATGAGTTAATGGTAAATGATACCATTAACAAAACAATTGTGAAGTCACTCCTGCCAAGATGTGGGTTTGTTCCTTTTATTTTTGCCAAAAACATAACTTGAGGTTGATAACTCTTTCTGTTTTCCCTTCATTTACTCTGATAACATTGTTTCCTTGGTAGAGCCAGATTTGCCCCTTGTCCAGTTCTCTTTATATCTATCTTCATCCTGACAACACCTTCGCTGCTGTTTCCTTCCACGGGTTTTCCCCTTGGGGAATCTGAAGGGGATCGTTTGTTCAAAGCCTGGATTTAATAGGGAACCTTGGTTCTGGAAATGCAGGTCTGTGTGGAAACCAGCCTTAGCTGGCAGTTGCAAGGAGGCATTCCAAAGCTTCACTTTGGACTGAGAGATGTGACCATCCCTTCCAGCCCTGAAAGGCCTTTGTGGATCCAGCCTGAGTCTCTGTACCACAGCCACAGCCAAGTGTGAGCAGTCCTTGTGTTGTGCCTTCACAATGCACGAGGCATGAGACAAGGAGAGCAGAAACACGCACAGTAATCCCAGATTTGATGCTGATTTATGGTCAGATGTTGTGCAACCCATCTCTGAGGCAGGGAGATTCTCCCTGCCAAGGGAGGGCACTCCCAGCAGGTATGTGGGGTAGACAAATAGGAGTGTTAGCATAAGTATTAAGGGCAGCTGGCAAGGGAAGTAGGGCAGAACAAAAGAGCTCCTGATTCAAAGCCTTTACATACTCCTTTCTACTGCAGATAAACACCTATTTCTACCCTTGAAGTATGTGACTGTATTCAAGAAAAAAAAAAAACAAAAACCTCTGTGAGTATCCTTCACCCAAGTTAGGCTTCAAGCCTTTCACTGGGTCATGAAAGCTTTTTTAAAATTTTGAATTATGTACCTCTGTTTTTCTTCATATTAAATTTGAATTTGTCTGACACACAGCATCACCCTCTCTCACCTAAGGCAGTGCAAGGATGCTGAATGTTGTTCAAGCAGCTTGAAACTATCCAAACATCTCTTCAATAGTCTTTTTTCTTTGTACTGCCACATTGCTATTTTTCTGAAACTTCAGATCCTTGTTGTGAGACCTGACATTTTCAAGTGAACTTTTTATCTTCTCATTGCATTGTCTGCTGAAGTTTCACTTCTAGCATGTTTTTAGCCAAGTTTTGTTCAACCTTTTTTTTCATAAGGAGAGCACATGAGATTGTCATCAACACAGCAGCTGCTAGATAGAGCTGGTTGGATTATCCTGTCAATTTATGCAACCAGCCCTACAACATGAATCATATTGTTGATTGGACCATGCAAGTACAAGTGTCATCTCTTGACCAATCTGTGTTTTGACTCAAGCAGATGTTAAAAGACTGGAGTTTTACTGACACAGTATATAGGAACTGATGTGAGATTTGTATTTAACTTGTGAAGATACTTAAGGGATTATTTTCCATTAATTTATGCACTCAACACACACACACCCGCACACACCACCCTTAAA